GAAGTAGTAGTGGGATTGTCTGAACTTGAGACATTTTTCAAGGAGAATAGATAATATTTGGTAAACACCAGATATGGAAGTTGAGGAGAGGAGGAATAGAGTATGACTTCAAAGTGTCTCAATATTGGGAGATGGGGTAGATGGTGATATGATTGAGAGATGAGAGAACACAGGAGAACAGGATGGGTCCTCTACTCCAGTGCACCCCTAATGAGTGACCATAAACTTTGGCACAGGTGGTCAGTGAGCCAACAAGACAAGACCTCAGTGACTGAGAAAGTGGATGAAGCCTGCCCCAGAATAAAACCACTGTCTCTTAATGCCCATGTTTTTGGCTCAAAGTGTCATTTGGTTCAGCATCATTTAAGAGCTGTTATCCAGACTGCAAACCTCTTTTTGGTTATATTGTGTCTCATTCCAATTATAAGATATAAAGAGCAGAAACTCTGCAGCCAGATTACCTGGACAAGCCACTTCAGACAAATCACTCAAACTGTTCAATGCCTCAGTTTCCTCATCTGTAAAATAAGGATAAGAATTCTTTATAAGGTGGTTGTAGGAATGAAATGAGTTACTACGTATACAGATGTGCTTGGCACTTAGTATCTTGTAAATGTTTGGTGTCATTATTAATAAGGAATGAAATACTTGAGTAAAAGTGGTACAAATATTAGAGATTATCACAGAACAAGATTGGAGGTGGGCAATTCCAGAGTTGGTGCCATGACTTTACCAAGTCATCAAACAGCAGATTCTTCCCATATCCTGCTCTGCCATTCCCACTGTTTTAGTGATGTGCTAGGGATTTCTTCTTCACCGTGACCAGGAGGCTATGGTATCTCCCAGAATCAAGTCCTCACAAGACCAGCATCTCAAGCAGGAAACAAGGAGATGGGAGGGAAAAGAGCTTTCCTCTTGGTACAATGCTCTCTTATCAAGGAGGAAACTTTCCTAGAAGCCTCCAGTAGGTTTTCCTTCAGTCAGAAATGGCCTGAACGTAACTGCAAAAGTGGCTGGGAAAGAAAGAATCTGGCACTTCTCACCCATCACAAATGAAGCAAAAGTAGAGGGTGGAGATAGTTGTTGGGTTGTTGGGAACTGATAATGCCCACCACAATCTTGGAGCCAAAGAGTTTCAAATTTAGCCTCACTCAGGGCAGAACATGGCAAACAAGAACATTGCAGCATTTTAGTGGATAACCCACAAGCTTAATTCTTCAGGCATCATTAGCTGTTTTAAGAGTATTTTTTTAACCCAGGTGAGAATTTTGTGGGTAAAACATGAAGACAGTATATTTTTGAGCAGGGGGACATTCCTAGTCTTCTCACCTGTTCTAGGCTGCCACCTTCCCTTCTAATAAACTAAAGGAAAACCCAAAACCAAACCCACTGCCATTGAGGTGATTCCGACTCATAACAACCATATAGGACAGAGTAGAAATGCCCCATATAGTTTCCAAAGCTGTAAATCTTTATGGAAATAGACTGCCTCATCTTTCTCTGGTGGAGCAGCTGGTGGGTTCAAACTGCCGACCTTTTGGTTAGTTAGCAGCCCAATGCTTTAACTACAGAGTTCCTTCAAACTAAAGGAAGTGGTTTGTAATTCAGTGGACCTTATCTGAGAGGCTGGCTAAGCCAGTCACTGTTAATCTAAGAGATATCAAAGGCCTCTTTGCGGCCCCTTACAGCCGCCTCACCCACTGTGACAGGGGTAGGCACAGAGAGCTATGTGAAAGGAGCTGCTCTTTCCAACTTAGAAGTATGTCTTAAATCCCACTGCTCTCCTACCATCAAAGTTCCTACAGCCCATGACCACTCTCATCTGAAACCACTACAGCCTCTGATCTGCTCTCCTCATCAAGCTTTTCCATTGCAAGAAAGACTATACCAGGTGGGCTAAGGCAACAAGAGAACCAGGAGAGAGCTCTCATAAACGTCTCCCAAAAGTCTTACTTCCACTAGCCAAATCTATTAAAGAAAGGAGAAATTTATAAATTCCAGGATACTTGGTTACTAATCTCATTCTGGCCTATATGTGAATATTCAATAAATACTTGTAAATTAAATTGATTCAAGGTTTTATTTAGTCAACCTTCTTAAAGCTTATGTAAACGCCTTGGAGATTTGTGCCAAGCTGTTAAGTTGGAAAATATATGAAAAGTAGTATTTCCAATAGACTAGATTTCCTCTTAACGTGCTTTATGAGCTTAGAGTAAACCAAGGAGAAGTGGGTGAGGCAGGAGCGGAGGGGAAGGAGGAGGTGAGGAGAAAAGTCTATTTCTGCCATTTCTTACTTTTGTCTTCACTGCTATACTTACTAGCCAGCTACTGCCCTCCTGTGTTCATTGTATAAACTTCTCATTTGAATTCCATTTTTCTATTTAAAAATCCTGATGATACTTGGAAGGGACCAAAGTTCTCGCTTTGAAGATAAGTAAACTCAAGTCCAGAGATGTAAGATATCCAGGCAGGCTTCTAGACTCTTAGTTACCCCACCTGTAACTTGTCTGGCAAGCTTTCTTTATTAAGCATTGCTCAGAAACTTCAATAACTAACCAATAAAAATTATAGCATATTAATCATCTAATAATAATTTTAAGTGCTATATATTACTAAGGAGCTCTGGTGGTGCCGTGCCTAAGGCATTTGATTCCTAACCAGAAGGTTGGTAGTTCAAACCCACCAGCTGCTCCCAGGAAGGAAGATGAGGCAACCTACTTCCATAAAGATTTATCATCTTGGAAAACCAATGAGGGTCACTATGAGTCAGAATCGACCCGATGGCAGTGGGGTTTTTATTAGTGGCACACATGGTAGCTAAGCGTTCAGGTGCTAGCCAAAAGGTTGGCAGTTTGAAACCACCAGTCGTTCCACAGGAGAAAGATGAGGCAGTCTGCTTCCATAAAGATTTACAGCCCTGGAAACCCTGTGGGGCAATTCTACTCTGTTGATGTGAGTTGGAATTTGACTCGATGGCAATAGGTTTTTGGTTTTGGAGCTCTTATTGCCAATGTCATTCCAAATAAAGCTAAATTTGACTGTTGGTCAAGCTTAGCTAAGGATTTATAGATATTATTTTCACATTTTAAACTTGGCACATGTTTAGAGAATATATTACTTTTTAAAATGGCTAATTAAAAAAAATTATTGTGGTAAAATATGTAACAAAAAATTTGCCACTTTAACTTTTTAACTAAATTTATTTTTTATTGCGATTTGGGTGAATGTTTATAGAGCAAATTTGTTTTTCATTCAACAGTTCACACACATTTTGTTTGTGACATTCATTGCTATCCCCACAATAAAACAGTTCTCTTTCAACTTCCTCCCTGTGGTTACCTGTTTCCTATGTCCTTCTTTCTTAATGCATTCCTGCCTTGGCTTTCTGCCTGTGCAAATGCTACCCTACTGATCTCCCATAGCTGATTGTTCTAAGGAGTGTACCTCCCTGGTCTAATTGTTCACCTCCTAGGGTCTGTCTATTGTTTGGCTGAAGGTTAAGTCATCTGAGTTTAATTCCAGGCCCAAAGGATAACTAGGGGCCATAGTCTCAGGGGTTTCATCAGTGTCTATCAGAGCAGTAAGCTTGGTCTCTTTCATGCTTTTGAGTTTTGTTCCATATTTTTCTCCCACGCTATTCAGGATCTCCAGTTTTGATCCCTTCCTGAGTGGTTGGCAGTGGTAGCTGGACACCGTCTAGTTCTTCTAGTCATGGTCCTGTAGACTGAGGTCCACTACTAGTCTCTTGGACTAATTGTTTCCATGTGTCTTTGATTACAGTAAATTGTTTCTATGCTGAAGATTAGTTGTTTTGTATGCATTTGATTTCACTCAATTATGAAGTACAAGTGAAGGATTTACTTTAAAAAATAATATTTTATGTGTTTTTGGTGAAGGTCTACACAGCAGATTAGGTTCCCATTCAACAATCTCTACATAAATTGTTTGGTGACATTGGTTACACTCATGAACCTTCTATTATTTCAGTTATGGTTGTTCTGTTTCCATTAGTCTACTTTCCCTCTCCCTTACCTTCTCACCTTTGTTTCAAAGCAATTTTTGATCATTTTGACTATTTTTAAATGTATAATTCAATGACATTAACTACATTCACCATGTTGTACATCACCACTATCTAATTTCAGGTTTTTCCTCACCCCAAACAGCAACTCAGTATCCCTTAAATAGTAACTGCCCATTCCTCCCTCCCCCCAAATCCTATGAATCCTAGTAAACTGCTGCCTTGATACATTTGTGTATCTGAGATATTTTAACTCAGTAGGCTCATGTAATGTTCCTTTTTTAAAAAAAAAAAGTTAACCAGAACAGACCCAAAAGGGCCTTGCCCATTTAGCAGAACTGATTTATCACTGTCTCTGTGTAGGCTAGAATTCTTTTAGAATTCTCCCAAAGGAACCTCTTTGCTCATTGATGGGAAAGGGGGGGGGGCGCTATTTGTCATTTAAGCTTGGAACACATATTTTCATCATTTAATCATTTTGCTGATGGGAATAAACTGAAAGTTATCCAGCTGGATGTGTCATCTACAAGAACATTACTAAGTAACAAAAGATTTATTCAAATATTTAATTGGAAGGAAATACATCTGGAATAAGTTTTAATGGAGTTCATTTAAAAGCTAAGTGAATCCATTAGAACTAATATCATAAACAGTTGACTTTATCTGGAACCAGAAATATTAACGAACCTAGAAATCATAAGCATTCCCTTGCATCTAGCCAGTTGAGTTTTTCATTTTATATGGCAATTTATTATTTTAGGTAGTGATTTGTTTTCAGCAAATGTTTCAGAGACAGATCATCCATATTACCTAATTTGGTTCTTTTCCCCCTTCTTCCAAAAAACAAACAAAAAAGAAAGTGGTAGGGGGCATCTTCCTGACTTCAAATACAACCTCCTGCTAAGATCAATGAGTTAGCAGAAAGCATGCATTTGTGCTACTAGTTACTAAATGAGTTAGGAGGCATGCAGCTTCATCCTTAGATGTCAACATAGATGCCATTGATCAAATAATCTAGTCGTGAGTAACGTTTCCTACGGAGGGATTCTGAGAGCATTCTACCCAAGAGGACGAGGCCTATCACCAGGAACAGAACACCAAAGAGCAGGGTTCCAACGAGGAGCCACTTTTCAAAGGGAAAGCCATATTGACTTTCTGGAACATTGTTTTGTGAGGAACTGCCTAGATTGGCCTTCCTATTTTTCTGGGTAGCAGTTTTATTTGTAGCAGAGGAACCCACATTTGACACAGGAAGTGTAGCAAAGTTGTGTGCATCTCCTGTGTTCAAAGTTAGGTTAGAGATTTCTCTAGAAGGCACCATTTCTGAGGTGACTTTCAAGATGGTAGGTGTCTGAAAGGTGGAAGTCCGAACTGCTATTGTAGTCGTGCTAGCTAGGGATGTAATCATGGCACTCGTAAAAAGTGTAGAAACAAGGGCTGTGGGAGGCTGAGAAGTAATGGTTGTGACAGGTGGAAGCGTGGTGGCTACTTGAGGTTGAGAAGTCATAGCAGGTATCACTGAAGGGTTGGTAGGTTGGAGAACTGCAGGCTTTGGAGTAACGGAGATGGTATGTGGAGAAACAGCAGTCACTGTGGTTGGGAATAGAGTCATATTTTCAAGCAGCTGATGAGCTATTTTTTGTTTGGGGGAAAACTGTGAACTCAGAGATTGGCCTTTTTCTTTATAAACAGGAAACTGTATACTCGTTTGATTAATCTGGAATACTTTCTCCAAGTGATCTGAGGCTCCAAACCTCTGAGAAAGTGTATCTTTCCATATAGCATCAGCGGGCTTTGAATGACCTGTCAGATGAGAAGGTATGGGAGTGACTGCTTGTGAAGTCTTGCCATGTAAGAGAGAATCTTCTTGGGCTAGCTCTTGACTTGGCAAGTCAGTTCTGGTCAAAGATGGAAAATCTGAAAACATAAAGAAAATAAAAGGAAGACTTTTTATTTCCATGTGAAACCAGCTGCCATCAAGCCAATTCTGATTCATGGAGATCCTATGAGTGCCAGAACAGCACTGTGTTCCGTGCTGTTTTCAAAAGCTGATATTTTGGAAGAAGATTGCCAGGGCTTTCTTCCAAGGCATTTCTGGGTGGGCTCAAACCACCAACCGTTCAGTTATCAGCCGAGCATGTTAACTGTTTGCACCATGCACACACTCCATTTCCATGTTGAAGTAGATTAAAAACTAGAAACACATCAGCTTGTTCAATAAGTCTCCAAACTGTTGATGCCTGACATTTCATTGAAACTTTTGCAAAATGAAAAAATACAAATTGCTAAAACAGAACCTGGTAGCACTGTCTCTCCCCCAGATGATGCTGTAATTTATTTCTAAGATGATAGGACAGACGAGAACAGAAATGTGTGAAGGAGGATCAGGCAAATTAAGGAAGGGTAGGGATGTCCAAGGAGGGAAGCAAAGAGCAGCTCAGCATGGACAGGAAGAAGTTTAGGGAGATGAGAATGATTACAAGGTCAAAGCTGGGGAAGAAAGCTGAGCAGAGGTGATGAGGGCAGGAAGATCTGTCTGAGACTGCAGCAACAAGAACTGGACTGTCAGGGAGAAGCTTGCATGAGACCCAATCCTACAGGACATGACAGTTGGACACAGCTGACAACTGGGGAAGCAAGCAATCATTAGAGATTTCACAGTGGGGGGCAAGAGGCAAGAAAACGGGTGTGGAGAAGAGGAGGCAAAGCCCTGTGAGGGCTGCTTTGACAGGGAACAAGGGGAAGGAGCCGGGAGGGTCTGGTTTTCTCTGAAGGCGCTGAGGCCAAGGCAGCAGCAGAAGAAGGCTGATGACATTTTCCAGTTAAGTGACAGGGATGTATAGTTTCAGCACCACATTCAGGGAAAGGAGACAATCTGGGAGATTTCATCTTGACTCTCAAAGAACAGAATCTTAGAACCAATGTCTTGGGTTTTGAGGACAATGAGAACGATCTTTAAAATCATGATGTGCTAGAAATTTTGGCCAAGTTGCTAACATAAAGAGCAGAAAATCAAACACTCCTGATTCCTGCTGAGGAAGAACCAGCTTTAGACCCTTCTTATGCTAGACTATTTAGAATTTTGTTAATAAGCTCAAGCAGAAAAAAATCCTGTTAATCAGGTGCCAGGAATGAAGCCCCGGTGGTGTGGTGGATAAGGCATTTGGCTGCTAAGCAGAAGGTCAGTGGTAACCAGCCGCTCCGCGGAAGGAAGATGGGGCAATCTACTTCCATAAAGATTTACAGCCTCGGAAATCCAATGGGGGTCGCTATGAGTTAGAATCAATTCAGTGGCAGCCAGTTTGGTTTGGTTTTTGGTTCTATAATACTTAGCTACTTGGCTAACAATTTCACTTAGGTGAGAACTGCAGAAAACATAAGCAGCAGAGGAATTTCCTAGCATTATGGCTCCCTCTCTCTCCTCTCTCCTAAACAAAGATATCCAGAAGCAACTTCAGATTTGCAACATCTTTTGCCTACTCTCTAAGCATCACTTCTCTAAGAGATCCTTTAGAACTATCACATATTAATCAATCTAGGACAGAGGTCGGCAAATTATGGCCCTCAGGCCAAATCTAGCCTGTCATCTGTTTTTGTATGGCTCGCAAGCTAAGAATGGTTTCTACATTTTTAAGTAGCTGAAAAAAAAATCAAGTATTTTGTGAAATGTGAAAATTACATTCAAATCTCAGCATCCATAAATAAAGTTTTATTGGCATACAGTCATACTCATTCACTTACATATTGTCTGTGGTTGCTTTTGCACTACAAGGACTGCCCACAAAGCCTACAACACTGGCCTGAAAAGCCTAAAATATTTACTAGCTGGCCCTTTACAGAGAAAGTCTGCCAACCCCTGCTCTGATGTTGTTGTTGTTGTTATGTGCCATTGAGTTGGGCCAGACTCATAGCGACCCCTCCTTGGGTTTCTGAGGCAGTATCACTATGGAAGTAGATTGCCCAACATTCCTTCTGAGGAGTGGCTGGTGGGTTTGAACGACCAGCCTTTCTGGTTAGCAGTCAAATGCCTTAGGCACTACGCTACCAGAGGTCCTGCTCTAGATAGTCAAACCAAAAAATCCAAACCCACTGCCATCGAGTGGACTCTGACTCACAGTGACCCCCACTGGGTTTCCAAGGTGGTAAATCTTTACAGAAGTAGATTGCTCCATCTTCCTTCTGTGGAGCAGTTAGTGAGTTTGAACCACCAACCTTCTGGTTAGCAATTAAATGCTTGAGGCACTGTGCCACCAGAGCTCCATTCTAGATACAATATTCTCTACTCTAAAATAGAACTTGGATCCCTGAAGTTCCTCTTTCCTCTAATAATGCTGACAAAAAAGAAGTTTTTGCTACAAGATGATATCACATTCACAGATAGCATCACCATGTGATAAACACCATCTGTATTTTTAGGTAAAAGAGACCTGATGGCACCATGGTTAAGTGCTCAGCTGTTAACCAAAGATTGGTGGTTTTAACCCACACAATGGATCATGGCCTAGAAAACCCTACGGGGTCACATGGGAGTGCTATGAATGTAAATCAGCTCCATGGCATACAACAAGAATAACACCATAGTTTCAAGTAGAATCAGATATTTGAAAAAAGGGCAAGTATCAACTTAATTCATTTTAAAGTTAAAAAAAAAAAAAAAAGGACTAATAAGTAAATGTTCTGTGATGTGTGTGAAAAAAGAATTTAAAAGGTCATTGGAAAAAATGGCCAAAACAGGTGTTTTCCTTCTTAAGAATGCAAGCTCATAAATAAAGCAAAGCTAGGGCTGGTCCCATTTCTTGATAAGATTCATCTACGGGCAAAGGTCCCGGAACCACGCAGGATCCCCGACACCTGCGCCATTCATTTGGCCCACTGATGTTTGCCAATGAGGTGTGGTATTTTCCCTGGAAAACGGCCCTCTGGTCTCAACTCCTCTTTTGAGTTTTATTTTCAAGTGACTTCACTGAGTGAAAAAATTAGGGACAGACTATTACTTGAAACCAGCTGAGCAAACAGACTCCCGATTTATTCTATTTCTGAATTCCCTTATTCTTCTAGCCCTTAGTGGAAATGACATACCCCAAAGCCATCCAAAACAAAAAGATACCAAGCTGCAGTGATTTTGTAGGATAAACAGAGTCCATGTCATCTTTCAAATTTTTAGTCTATAAATATATAGACTAAACTGAGTCAATCAGTTATAGGAAATAGGGTTCATCTGGCAATAAACTATCAAATAGATGTTTATACTTAATTTAACTCCAAAAAGGAGTTGGGTATTCACTTTAATGGGATAATCTTGATCTATCAACAGAGGCAGATTAATAAATATTCACTCTGAATTACAAACACAATTCGTAAACATCCTGTAGATATAAACAGTCCATTGCTCGCTTTATCTAGGGTTGGTCCCACTTTGCCCTAGCTGACAATCAACTTGTTCTGAGTGAATGCTGCCCCCTGGTGGCTACTATAAGAACAGTTGTATACTTTTTTTCCATTTCATTACCTTCACACTGGGAGCTCTGGTAGCATAGTGCCTAAGGCACTTGACTGCTAACCAGAAGGCTGGCGGTTCAAACCCACCGGCCACTCCTTGGAAGGAAGGTTGGGCAATCTACTTCTGTAGTGATACTGCCTCGGCAACCCAAGGAAGGGTCGTTATGAGTCGGATCCGACTTGATGGCACATAACAACAACCACCACCTTCACACTAGGAGCTCTGGTGGCCTAGTGCCTAAGGCATTGAACTGCTAACCAGAAGCCTGGTGGTTCAAACCCACTAGCTGCTCCTCTGAAGGAAGGTTGGGCAATCTATTTCCGTTGAGATTCTGCCCCGGAAACCCAAGGAGGGGTTGCTATGAGTCAGAATCGACTCGATGGCAGTGAGTTTGGTTTTTGGTTTGGTTTTACCTTCACACTTAGGAGCTCTGGTGGCAAAGTGGGTAAGCCATTTGGCTGCTAAGCAGAAAGCCAGTGGTTCAAACCCACCAGCTGCTCCATGCAAGGAAGATAAGGCAATCTACTTCTGTAAAGATTTACAACCTTGGAAAAGCAATGGGCACACTTGCTATTGAAAGGTTTATGCAAGTGCCAAGTTTCCTTTTCTTCCATTTCCATTAGACAGAATCTTTAACTCATTCTTCCTCTTTTATACATGCATTATAAAATCAATAACATTACAGAAGTATTGTGAAAAACAGAAAATAAATTCAGCTATCATTTCTATCATCATATCTTCAAAAAACTCTCACTGTTATCAAGTTGATTCCAACTCATCACGACCTCCATTGAGCGGAATGCCTCATCTTCCATGGATCACCATATCCTAGCAACTGTTATTATTTCTGTGTGCCTTATGAGTAAAAAATCTATTTTTATGTAATTGCAAAACAACTGGTATTTTTCACCTGAAATTTAGATAAAATTTTGTTTATTTATATACTCAAAACTTATTTTTTATATCTGCATTGTATTCCCTCAAGTGGACCCACAATAATTTACCCACCCATTCCCTGGTCATTTATGCCACTTCAAGTTTTCCACTTTTAAAACTAATGATACAATCAATAGGTTCATGCCAATAGCGTTTTCCTTCTTTAAATTTTTCTTTTTTGTTCCTTACTATAAATTCTTCAGAAGTGCAATTACTGAAGTAATTATCTATACTCTTTTTTTTTTAACATTCTGCTTTTAACTGCAATAGACGACAGACATGAGGAGTATGCACTGAAAGCAGAAGGAAGGCGAGGGAGATGACATAACAGAGGTAGAATGTGACGTCCAATGTTCAAATTACAGGGGCACCTGGAGCGTCTTGAGCCCTGACCTCTCCTTGGAAACTGAGATTGGAATGTTCAACTCTGCCTAGACACCAACCCTGGACAATGTGCTGGGTGATCAAAGAGAAACAAGAC